GCTCGGCCTTGCGGGCAGAACTCGGCTGGATTAGCCGGACTCCGGGAGGGGCCTCTGTCTCTACCACAGGGCCGTGTGGGCGCACAATGGCTGGACCCTACAGGAGCGTGTTTCCATCAGCATTAGCCCCCACGCCAGCTGGGAGGCAGCAGCAGAGAGACATCATTGTCCCAGCCCGAGGACCTGATATCCTCCGGACCAGTTAGACAGACAGGGCGTGGCCTCACGTGGATTGGCCCGTCTCGTCTCCTGAGCTCCCTGGCTCTTCGGACCTGGCCCCCAGCAGCAGCCCATCCAGCAACCCGGGCACGGCCAGCCTCTTCACAGACGGCCATGACTAGCTCCCATTACACCCTGCCTGTGTGCCAGGCCCTGGGGGAGTCCCGCACGTGTGAGCCCAAAAGTCCCGCTACAGAGGCCATGTGACTTGTCCCCGCTTAGATACGGCAGCTACGGCTCCTGACAGCACCCCTCGCCCCAAGGCCACGCAGCTGCCACGGGGCGGAGCCTGTCCCACACGATCAATTATGCTCATCTCCAGCCGGGCCTGAGCAGGTCAGACAGGGTCTTCCCCGTCATCCTGCCTTCCTTGGGGCCTTTGAGGAAGCCCACCCTCTATCAAAAGGGGGCAGAGGAGGAAAAACCAGGAGGCTGGCCACGCGTGGCTCTCCGTGCCCACAGCTCCAGCATGGCTAGAGGTGGTGGCTGCCGCCAGCCCGAGGGAAGCAGGTTTGCAGCCTCAGCCCCCGTACCCCCAAGTCCAGCCTGACAGACCAGCAGGTGCCCACCAGAGCTGCTTCTTGCGCCGTGGGCTCCCCGGCCCCGCCAGCACGTCCCACCAGCGGGAACTGCTACCTGGCACCAAGCTCACACCTGCTCCACACCGCGCCCTCAGCCGCAGCCCCATACCAGCGTCCTGGCCTTTTCTGGGCTCCTCTGCGTCACGGTCCCTCCCACACGGGGCCTGGCATGTGGTGCCCTCTGGTCAGGTTTCTCTCCCTCTGGCACACACTGGATAACCTCCTCCCCTTGGGGTCCAGCTGCAGCTCCTCCGCTGGAGAGGGCCCCTCGTAACCTCGGGCAGGGCCAGGTCACACGCGTGCCTCTGCAGCCCGCTAGCTGTGCTCACATCTGCGATCAGCTCTCCGCCCTGGTGAGGCCAGAGAGGACGGGGCCTTTCCTGTTCACGCTTCCCGGCTCAAAGCACGGTCCCCGCGTGCTGTGGGCACTTGGTAGACACTGCTTCTTGTGCCCTGCTCACCTCCTCGTGGTGACATTAGGACCAAGACTGCAAAAGGCCAGCCACGGAGTGCCACGTGAGCATCTGGAGTGGGCTTCAGCTCCAGGCCTCGGAAATAGCCCCCACTGCTCTGTGGGTACCAGGCAGAGTAAGGTGGGAAGTCTGGCCCTGGCATATGAAAGGTCAATGATCAGAGTCCACCCAGGCTAGGGAAGCTTGCAGCTCTCCTGGGGTCAACCCAGGGAGGCTTCCTAGAAGAAGAGCCCCTGGCTCATTGATGAGGTCACAAGTGGTACCACACAGACTTCCACGAGTAGAGGAAAGGCTCTGCGGTGAGCCACAGCAGAGGGGCCCCTCTTCCCCTCCCGGTGAACTGACCCATCTGAGAGGACCCCTGCCCTGCCACTGCACACCCCAGCCCTGCGTACCTGTTCATCCACTTTATGGGCAATGAGGGTGGCTCCTTCCTCCAGCTCGGCCACGCTGATGGGTCGGACCCGGAGCGCCACCTAGGAGGGAAGATCAGAGCCCTGGGATTAGGAGAGGACCCTGTCGGGGAAGACAAATGACCCCAGGATTCCTCCCCCAGGCGTGGCTGTGCCGGGGTCCAGCCATCTCGGGCCTCCCTTGTCCTAAGGAGAACTCTGAGTCAGGGCCAGAAGAGGAGGGCCCACAGGGTGTCGGGGTGTCTGCGTCTGCACAGCTCCCCAGGGGCCCACCCTGCAGGGAGCACCCTAGCGGGGAGAGCTGCCTGCTCCTCCAGGCCGCACCGCTCACACACCCCGGTGAAACCCTCGCAGCTTCCCTGGGTCTGAACGGGGAGCCCTTGGCACCGGGGCAGCCTGTGCACCTGCCAACGTGGGTGGCGTACTACCCTGAAGGCACAGACCCCCCCCCCCTGGCTCTAGGATGGAGTAGGCGGTGGAACGAAGCAGGATAAGTCCCCTCGTCTTCCTAACAACCCGAGGCCACCTTCCTACCAGGGAGAGTGCCCCTGAGGGTCCCTGTCTCTGCCTAGTCTCCTCCAGCCAGTGAGAGACAGCTGGTCTTCCTGTCCATGGGTCTCCCCAGAGAAAGCAGAGAGAGTGAGCCTCGTGCCCACCCAGAGCAACCCCTGCTGGGTGTGGGCAGCACGAGCAGCCCTCACGCCAAGTGAGGACTCTTCACTTTCAGAGGGACCCAACGCTGCCATGTTGTCTTTATCGGCCTCCTCGGCATGCTCCCCTGGAGGCAGGGACCCCCTGTCCCTGCACTGCGGGGCACCCCAGGCCCACCGAGCCAAACTGTTTCAGAGACACATTCTAATTTGCCGGGGGAAACTTGCAAAGCCTGGGGCTTGCTTTGGTGCTGGGCCCAGGTGCCTCTGCGGATCTTTGGAGAAGCAGTGCACCCCACGGAGGTAGGGTGTCGGGGTAACATTATCCTCCAGTCTCATCGCCACCCACCTGCTATGATAAAGGCCCGCTCCCAGATACCAGAAGCTGGGGCTGGGAGGAAATGGGAGAGGGGGACACCCACCTGGCCACCCAAAGCCTTGTGTGGCCTGGGGTCACGAGACTTCCTCTCACCACTGCAGCCCCCTTGCTCCCCCCACCGATAACCCGGAATCTGTACTTCTGCCCTCTGCTGCCCCCACTGCCACCTCCCTGTCTGTCCCAGACTCGGGCTCTGGGGACCCATCAAGGCTGTTTCCAGTACTCCCTGGAAAACTGAGTTCTGGCTTGGACAGTCTGGGCTATAGCCCAAACCAGCCCCATGCAGGCCCCTCTGACCCGGGAGTAGGGGTGGGAGTTCAGGAGATGGTGGTGGGTGGGGAAGGCATCTTGTCTTCCTACTGGTGATCCCCAACTCCCTTTAAACTCCCCGCTTCGCCAGGTCTGGGGTACCCTCTGGTTCACCGGGAACCCCCACCTTCCTTCTGGGGCAGGTGAGCCCTGCCTGCTCCTGGCTTTTCCGGATGGGACAGTGTTGCTGCAGAGACCCAGCACAGGCTTAGGGGGTAGGGTTCTCCTGGGAGGCTGAAGAGGGGCGGGGTTGAAGTCTGGCACTTTCTTGGACTCAGGGTGGCTGGACACCATCCTCTAGGACTTGGGGGAAGTTGCTCTAACCTCAGGTCCCGGCCCCCCTGCGGGTCCTCTAGTGGGGTGAAGTGAGGGGACAGGCAGTCGGAGGCCAGGGACCCTGGAGGAGGATGAAGAGTCTCACCATGAGCTGCTGGTCCTTGGAGTCCCCGCTGTCCTTCATGTCTGCGGCGGGTGGAGGGGCTCAGGCCGCGACACCAGGCATGACCGAGCGGCACCTGCACTTGCCGGGTCTCCTCCTGCCGCCCCGCCTGCACCGCTGCTGCCTGACAACCCGAAACCAACAACGCGCCCGCGGCCAAGGGCGCTGACCGGGAGGCGGGGCGAGGAAGGGCACGGACAGCGCTGCCCCGCCCTCTGCTCCACGCCCCTCCCCGCGCTGTGGCCAAGAGTTGGCCGCCTCCCCCTGGGAGGCGCCCGAGCCCTCGCTGCTGTCGCTGTGCGGCGTGCGCCGACCTGTGCGTTTCTGCGGCCCTTGGCTCGTCTGTGAGTCCGCCTGGCGCAGCGGCGTCCGTTTGGTAGCTCCTCGGCTCTTGCCCGCGCCCCCAGCTCGCGGCCGGACGCCTACCCATTGCTCGCCAGGCACGCCCGGCCTGGCACGCGGCTCTCTGGGCAGCACTCCCTGCTCCTCCTGCCACGCGCATCTGCTCCGCTCTCGCGCCCGGCGGCCCCCATGTCTTCAAGGCGCTGGGAACCCTTTGCGTTTCTGTGGGCCCCGCGTGCATCGCTGTGCCTGGCACCTCTGGAGGGTGCCTGCACTCACTGTGTCATGGCAGAGGGAGAGGGGGAAGGACGGTGGGCAACGGATGCTGTCTGCCCAAGGGGTGCAGGGGAGCACCACCTTATCTGGGAGATTACAGAAGAGTCTGCCTCAGTGTACCCCGCTAGCAAACAAGGCTCTATCCCTAACCCAGAATCTAGGTCAGGGCGTGTGGGTCCCTGTACCTTCTGGCTCCTTGCCTGCCTGAGGAGCCCTGGGCTGCAGGATAGTGTGGGTCCACCGCTGCTGCTCCATCCTTGGCGACAGTAATGATTACATACTCAGGGAGCATAGTGGAAAGATTCCCGGCCTCCAGAGGCTCCTGGAAAACAGGATTCCAGTCCCAGCTCGGCCTGACCTGCCAGCCACCTGAGGCCCATTTTCTCTGCCCGCCTCTGGGCTCAGGGTCCCGGCGAAGCTGGAGCTCTCCTGATTCCAGGGTCATCTTTTGTGTCATCTGCCCCCACTGAGGCCGAGCTGGCAGGCCCTGCAAAGATGGGGAGAGGGAGCCGTGGTGGGGTTCCCTTCCCATGGAGGAGCTGGGCAAGGAAGAGTGCGCATCCCCAGGGGCCATCCCAGACGGCCTGGCACACGTCCAGAGACAGAGCATGATGCCAGCCTGTGCCCTGGGACTGGCTTCCCAAGCTCCCCCAGGAGCACGTGCTGGGGATAGTGATTAATCAACAGCTGCAAGAAGCAGCCACTGCCTGGGTCAGATGAGAAGACACACCGAGTAAAACTTGGTGGAAAACGAGCCCCCTGCAGGGAGTCCCAGGTTGGGTCCTGATCTCTCGCCCAGGCTGCCCGGAGGCTGCAGCCGAGGCTGACGGCCTCCGAGCGGGGAGTTGCCACGTGGATCAGATGAGCTGCTGTGTCATGCTTGCTGTTTAGACCCCTGAACAGAATCTACCCGGGTCAGCCCAGGAGGCTCCTGGACTATTGGGCCTAGCTGGTTATTGTTTATTTGTTTGTTTTGTTTTGTTTTCCTTTACTGGCCCTCCACATGCACAAACCCTGCCCAGGACGGCCACAGGGACTGATGGACATGAGGAAGCAGCTTCAAAGCTGCGATCCTGCCTGCCCTGCGTGGAGACTCGCTGCAGTCGTCTTCATTCTGTTTTCTCCACTTTTGCATTTTGTCAATGAAACCGCCCGCTGCTGTAAGCCGTGTTTATACTGTCTACATCGGCGTTTACTCGCTTGTTCTGTCCCCTCGTCTTTTTCAGATCCTCTACCTCGCAGGTGTCCTCCTCGTCCTCGTCTCATGGCCCTCCCACCTGACATAGCAAGGCCTCTTGGGGTGCTCCCTGCCTGAGGTTCTGCTCCCCCGGCTCTTCCCACTTGGGAAAGGTACGGCTCCCTCTTTTTCCTAAAGGCAGAAGCCTTACCCCTCACAACCTCCTCCGCAGCCTCCTGCCACCTCCGTTTAACTCCAGAGTGAGCTCTCCACTCGACCGCCCCTTCGTCCCCAACGCACGCTGCAGCTGGGTCTGCCTGGCACACCCGTTCCTGCTCTGTCAATTTCCCTCCACCCTCCACATCAGGGCCCCTGTCTCCTTGCCCTCAGCACTCTTCTCCTGGGCTCAGGAGGGCGCCGGCCCAGGCACAGACAGTACCTGCTGTCTGCAGGCCAGTGCTGCCCGGGTCTGACCATCCAGCCGCCCCTGGTTCCTGTCCCTCCTCTGCCCCCACTGCCACTGCCCAAAGGCTGGGATGTCACAGGGTCTCATCCTGAGGGCCACAGCATTCCGTCTGGGCTCTCCAGTTTTCTTCTGCACCGTTCTAATCCACTACCAGTGTCGTCACGGTACTTTAGATCCTGCCACGGCTCCCCATGCTTTCTGTACGGACTGGGCCTGCTAGCCTGAGTCACAGCCTTCCCTGCTTCCTCCTTGGCTGTTGCTCCCCCTGCCCCTGCTTGACCAGGCCCAATCCCACCCGGTCCTCCAGTGATCATCTCTCTGGTCCCTGGGCTTCGTTCCTGCCACTCGGTCCTGGAGGGTCTGTCTTCCACTTATTTGTCTGGCTAACCCCTTCTCTGAAGCTCATCTTCCATGTCACCTCTGTCTTTGGGAAGCTGCCTCTCTAGCCTGTGGAGTTCTCCTGGGGCCCATCGGGCTGCTGCTTCTTCCTTTTATTTTTTTATTTATTATTATTTTTTCATTTGCTATAGGACGCATGTGCACACCAGAGAGAGAGAAAGGAAGTGAAAAAGGACTTCCTCTTTGGGGCACACGTGCTCATATGCCCAGAGTGCTTTTCAGACCACGTGGTCTGGGACTTGAACCATGCGGTTGGCTGTGTGGGATCCAGCCCCTTAACCACCACGCCACCTAGCTGGCTCCCATCAGGCCTCTTCTCCCACCTCTAGCGATGGTAGAAGGCAGGCAACCCAGGTGTGCCCCTGCTCATGGTGATTGGCTCAAGGGCATGGGTTATGACCCAAACTGGGCCAATCAGAGCCTTTCTTTCCCTGGAGTTTGTTACGATGGGAGAGAAGATGACTTTGGGGGTCACTGGCTGAGACTGAGGTCACGCCTAATTCCTTTGCTGGTCCACTGGCAGGAGAGCGTGGGAATGCAGCTAAAGGAGAAGTGGCCCAGACGGAGCAAGGAGTGAGACCCTTTGCCGGAGGTAGCCAGTGAAGCCCCTAAGCCCTCTTCAAGTTTCTTGAGTCAACAAATGTCCCTCTGTGACTTTAGTTAAACGTGTAACCAGTAGAGGGCTGACAAATACCGGGGGCCCAGCCTGAGCCCCACCAGCCTGGGTCCGCTTTCCTATGGGCCTCTCTCCGGCAGCGCCCCCTACTGGGACTGGAGTCACCTGTCTCTCCTGTGTCTTTATTATCTTTTCAGAATTGCTTATTTAATCTTATTTATTAGATATTTTTTAAAAATTGCTATAGAGCATGTGCACTCACCAAAGACAGAGAGAGACTGAGAGAGAGAGAGGGAGTGAGAAAGCAAGCCACCAGGTCCAGAACGTGAACTGCCACGAGGGAGTCCGCGTGGGAGTGCAGTGCCTTAGCCACCACACCACCTGCTGGCCCCTCGCCTGTGTCTTAACTTGCTGTTTCCAGCCCAGAGCCAAGTGACAGCGGAGTCAATAAACAGGTGGAACCACTGGGGCAAACCTGGTTACACACAGCCGTGAGTCTCGCTCAAACCACAAGTGAGCATTTAAGATCCCTGCAAACGGCCGCACCCAGTCACCCTGGTTTCGTCCTCGGCTCTGGCAACCATGGTGTAGTGAGCACCTGCCATCTGCCAGAGGCCGTGGGAGGAGCTGGATCTGTTTGTACATCACCCCCCCCTTTGGCCTCAGCGTCCTTGGGGTCAGGGAGGTTGAGCAACTGGGGGTCATCACACTGCAGACCTCACAGCTGACTGCAAACCTGCTTGGCTCAAGCTTCGCCAAGCTGACATCTCCACCTCCCAAAGCAGGCCTTCCAGTGGGCAGGCCCTCCCATCCCTGCATCACGACGTCTGTGACCGCCCCTGTGCGGCCATGCCTCTCCAGTCGGAGATGGACGGCAGCCCCCACCAGTCTTACATTCACCTGCAGTTGGAAAAGCTGGTTTCCAAGAGCCCTGAACACTCTCTAAAGCCCTCTGACCCTAGGGCTCAAGGGACCGCAGTCCCCCCTGCGCGTGGGCTGGGCATAGGCTTGATTGCCTCGGAGTAAAGCCAGGGATAGGATGGGGAGCGATATTGAGACACTCTCTTCGGCCTCCCCTTCCAGGCGTGGGGGTCCGTTGCTGAAGGGGCCCGAGGAACAGTTCTAAGCCCCCCTAGCAGCTCCTCGTACTGGAAGCCCCCACTAGCGACGATGTCTTGGTGGCCGTCAGATGCTCCTAGGTGGAGGAGGGCACAGATGTCCGCTGAGCATGTCCTCTGAACCAAGGGGTTGACGTGGCCCTAATAAGGCAGGCAGAGGTGCAGAGCGGGAAGTGATTCCACTGCCATCGGCCACTCCAAGCTGCTATCTTCTCACTAGACACCACGACGTCCTCCCGACGGCCCCAGCTGCTGCCCCCCAGGCCGTGCGAGAGAGCAGAGGTGTGAGCAAGCGCCCCTGCTCCTCCGCGACCCTCGGAGGGAAGGCCGAGTGCTTGGTGCAAGGCTTCGCCCAGGCTCAGCCCTGCGTGACTCGGTGTCCCTTCAGGCTCGCCCCCCGTGGCTCTGGCCCTCGCTCACCCAGACACCTCAACCTCACTCTCCCTGCTGGTCAGAGCAGTGCCAGCTGCCTCTGCTTTCTTTCAAGTTTATTTATGGATTCCTCCCATGAGGAAGACAGACAGACAAGCACCCTCAACACGGACTACACCACGAGCCACTCCCGCTAGCCGGGAGCACAGACATGCGTGTACAGGAGGACCTGGGTCGTGAACCTGGCACCTTTGCCAGTCGCCTCCACACGGTAGAGCATGGCCTATCTGCTGCACCACTGCGTCGGGTGTTTTGTGCCGACTTGCCTGGCCAGGGCACGTCCTCCATGTAGACGTTCTCCATATAGTTTTCACGTAGGCATACACATGTGCACACGCGTTCACCCCCCCCCCCGGCCCCCACTGCCTCATGCTCCTTCTCAGGGTCTCGGCTTCATTGCCACGTCCTCACGGAGGCCTCCTGGACGGCTCCTTCCACTGAGAGTCTAGGTTAGTCCCTCCCGTTGTCCCTTCCTCTCATAGTGCCCTGGACTGTCATTGTCACCTGGACATGCCGGGCTATAGGCATCGTGCACGTGTCACATCAATCCTCCTGCAGTGGGTGGGCCTGCATCTGGTTTACCTGCCACTCCGGGGCCTGCACCTGGCCCAGTGCCGGACGGCCAGTGCCCAGGCTTTGTCCCGCCCATGAGTTCCCATCGCTCGTTCCCCGCAGTCCTGCAGGCTGGCCGCCAGGCCCATGGCACACAGGGGCTGGCTCCTAGGTCCCTGGATACTAAGCTGACGCGATGGTCCTCAGCGGTCACCTTTGCCCCCCTTTGGGCCTCAGTGCCATCCCAGGGGCCTCTGGACCCTGACAGAGGGCAAGAGGGCCCCCCTCAGATCCTTATCCTGCGTGGAAGGGAGTGGTGGACAGTAAGTCTCCCAGTAGTGGTGGGCTACTGTGGTTGCAGCTGAAGAACCCCTGGGTCAGTGGCACCTTTACTAACCAAGTCAGCTCATGGAGGAGAGGAGCACACACTCCCCTGGGGGCCTGGATGGATGGACAGCCGTGCTGTGGACACTTGGGGCTCCACGTCTAGCCCTGCCCAGATGAGCTCCCTCCCATGGTCTGCACCGCTCACCCACGGAGGTGTGCTTTCCAGTGGCCTCTGGCTCTCTGTGCCCTGTGGTTTCGCTTTGCTCCCCTGGGGGAGAGAAACAGCAGGTTCCCGGTGAGGCCGGCACAGGTCACTGCCGCGTGGACGTGGCAACCCGCCCCATGAGCATAGGCCTCACGCTGCCCTTTGTCCAGCGCTGTTGGCCTAGGGCCTTCCTCCCTCCTCCCACGGCCCATTCCTCAAATGCCATCCAGGCACAGTGGCATGCTCTGTGTCCATGGCGAAGGATTTGCACACCCCAGCAGGTGGCCTCCTTCTGCAAGTCCAAGCCGAAGGCCAGCATTCTAGTAGGTTCTCCTGCCTTGGAGCTCATCACGCCAGACTCTCACCAGGGGCCATGGGTGCCAGATTAACACGACATGGGGCTTGGCCTTCCTCTGGGGTTGCTTCACTTGGATAGAGCTCTCTCTCCAGGTGAGCGTCCCTCCATGGCGCCCCTGCTGACAGTCTGCACAGGACAGGTCTTCATGCGGGGGGTGGGGGGTGGGTGGGAGGAGCTGCTCTGAGCACTGTGGGATGTTGAGTGGCGTCCCTGGTCTGTACCCACTAGATGCTAGGAGCACTCCCCTTACCAGTCGTGTTGACCCAAATGTCCCCAGGCACTGCCAGCTGTGTCCCCCAGCTGAGAATCACAGCTCTGAGCACGGGGTGCCTTAGAACAGCACGAGGGCCATATCCCTGCACGGTGAGGGCCTGCCGCTCCCTCCTGGCATCGGTTGCCTGCTGCCGTGTGGCAGTACTGGGTGGGAGCGGAAACCCTGCCTAGCCCTCCTGTCACAGGGACCAGGAGTGCTGTGTGCATGGCGTGGGCGCTGGGGCAGTGGCCCGGGCCAGGGTCTGCACTCCACCGCCCACTCCCGCTAGATCCAGCAGGTTCTCCCCGTCCCTTGCCTGCCACCTGGTAACGGGCTGAAGAGGGCGAGGTCACTGCTGGGCTCTTGTGCCGCTCAAGCACGGGGCAGAAGGAAGCGGAGGTGTAGCCACTGTTGGCCCGAGCAGCAGCTGCTGTGAGTCCTTCCTCAGGGAGACTGTTTTTCAGTTTTGCCATAGGGCACGTGTGCTCGCCAGAGACAGAGAAAGCTAGAGAGCACCCTCTA